GTTGGCGAAGCGCACTCGACATTGTCGTGAAACGCTGTCCCGCGTGCGCTTATCAATCGCGCGACCTCAGCGCTTGATGGGACGAGCATCATTTGGTCCGGCCGCGGGACACCAGCGGGACACCGCGCGGCACCGGCCGCCGGAGGAAAAACATTTGGTCCGGTAGTCGCGGCCCAGCCACAGGAGGATTTCGGGACACTCAGGACCCGCGGGCCGCGTGAAACCGGCGGGACACCGCGCGGCACCGGCCGCGGGAGGAAAAACATTTGGTCCGGCCGCGGCCCAGCCACAGGAGGATTTCGGGACACCGGCAGGACACCGCGGGACACCGCGCGGCACCGGCCGCCGGAGGAGTTACATTTGGTCCGGCCGCGGCCCAGCCACAGGAGGATTCCTTTTCGCCCGCCCACGCAGCTTCGCCTCGCCCGCACGCGCGCACAATCGAAATCGATTCCCCGGTAGGGGGGGTCTCCGTTTCTCGTCGGACTCACCCCTTTCTTTCCGATATATATATATATATATATATATATACTAGTGTGGACCCGTGGATTAAATCCACGGAGTTGCGCGGATCGAAATTTGGTTGCGAGTGCTGGGTTGTGCGACGCTGCCAGCTACTGCCGTAGATCCTGTGAAGCTTGTTCTGGTGCTGTTCCCCCACTGAGCGCCGCCAATGCACCGAAGCGGGGGCCGAAGTGTTCGAGCTTCGCAAGAGGCAAAAGTTCAAGAGACCAAGCCAGAGCAGCGTTGGAAGATATGCGTCGGGATCGCGGCGGACGCGGGAGCGGGTCGGGTCAAACGCGGCGCCGTCTCGGGCCGCGTCGTCGGAACGGCGTCGCGGCAAAATAGGGAGCGCAGACGGGCAGCGCCAGGGCCATGGGAGTGTAAAACATTGTTCTTTTGCGCCTGCGAAGGGCCTCTCGCCTCTCGTCCGCCCCTCTCTCTTGGAGGCAGTTTTGAAGCCTCTAGGGGGCCGTTTGGGAGCTCTATGGAGGCTCTTTTGGGCCTCTTGGGGGCTCCTCGGGGCCCCCTTGGGCCGCGTATGGCGCCTCTTGGGCCGTCTTGGGGCCGTCTTGGGCCACCTTGGGCGCCACTTGGGCCGTCTTGGGGCCATCTTGGGCTCTCTTGGGCCCCTTTTGGGACTTCTTGGGGTCCTCTTGGGCCGTCTTGGGCGCCCCTTGGGCCGTCCTGGGGCCGTCTGAGCCATCTTTGGGCCCTCTTGGGGGCCGTCTTGGGGAATCTTGGAGGCCTCTGGGGCTGTCTTGGACGCTTCGTAAAGGAAAATATCGAATCTATTGAAAATGTGCATTTTACACAGGGAATGTGGCCATTTTTGCTTGATGGAGCCCTCCTGGGGGAGCCCTCGGACCCCCCGGAGCCGTCCGAGGGCGTCTTTGGGGCGTATGGGGCCGTCTGGAGAACATCTTGGGCCGCCTGAAAGCCGTCTTGGGTCGTCTCGGGGCCTCCGTAAGCCGTCTTGGGTTTTTCTGGGGAACTCCGACGCCGTTTCGGACCCCTCCGGGGGCCTTCCGGTGCCGTTTTGGAGCCCCCGGGGAGCCCGGGGATCCGGGGGTCCACGCAAACCCGCCAAGGCCAATTCGAATTTATTTGAATAGATATATACACATACATATATGTATGAAGACTATTCTTGTGCTAATAATCATGCCCCTGCTAGTTTTTTTCACACCCTGCTACTAGCCCTAAGGAGCCAACGGCGCGTAATCGCCGCAGGGGTCGTCGCATTTTGCAATGCGCGTAGATATAGCCTGTTCCTCCTCCTCCTCCTCCTCCTCCTGCACCCTCATTATTATCCTCTTCCCCCTACACATATGAACGACGACCTTTCGCAGTGTCTGCATCTGCACGGGCTCTTCCAGCATGCGCAAGCGCTATATTGCAATATATAGAAGGAGGAGGACTTTATCAGGGCGGCTCATGTGGAGGAAGATAAGAAGAGCATGGCAGCGAAACTTCAGCGTGGGACGGAGCTTTGGCGTCGGTTTCGTCGTCGTACTTTCCTCTCGGGCATCTGCGACGCTGACGGGGCCCCTATTGGATCTACCGCGGCCTCTGCTGAGGCCCTGGCTGCCTACTGGAGTGAGATCTTCAAGGCCCCCAATGTTGACAACTCCCAGTGGCACCTCTTGGACCCTTTCATCCAGCAGGTCGTCGAGCCCCTTCATATGGAATGGAAGCTACCCCCTAGCGTTTGGTTTGACCTCATCCGGCAGAGGGCGGACAGCATGCCTGGCCCCCGATGGGATCCCCTACTGCGCCTGGGAGCATGGTGATTATCCTAGGATCCTCTATCACGTCTACTCGATTCATTTTTACCGACCAGATCCATGCTCGACCTGTTGCGATGCGACAGAATATTTTGATATTCCTCCCGAAGGGCGTTGACCAGCAGACCAGCAGGATGATAAGAGATCCAACGAACTGCATCGGAAACCTCAGGACACAAGGCCGCTGAACATGAGGAACACGGACATCAAACTTCTCGCCAATGTTTTGCTTTTCAAAAATGTATACCCCGCTCCGCTCATTGATAAGGATCAGGCATGTTTTGGGGGACGGGACATGATGGGACACATCGTGAGGGCGGAGGCTTGGGGGATACGAGAGCATATGCGTGGAGTTCCGCAAGCTGCGATGCTTCTCACCGACTTCTCGGCAGCGTTCCCCTCTCTTTCCCCCACCTGGCTCCTCCACGCTGTCGCCCGCATGCACCTGCCACCGTGTGTAGTCAATTTCTTCCAGATGGTGAGAAAAGGGGACCAAGGAGAAATTGATGTTGCCGGCCAGCGGTTCGGGAATCCTGGCCTGAACTCAAGGATCAAGCAGGGCTACACCGCTTCCATGTTATTATACGGGGTCGCCACCGACACTCTGATCCGATGGCTCCGTTCTTATGCCGTATCCCACATTCACATTCACCTCGCACATGCAGATGACCTCCTCTTTGGGCTTCTTAACATCCTGACTGACCTCGGCCCAGACGGCCTCCAGAAGTTCAAAACAATAGCGACCTCAAACTGCATTTCCGCAAGTGCCAGATCATTGGGTGTGTGTGTTGACCAGAACATCGATTTCATGAAAAAGTGTCTCGAGGACTTTGGGACCCTGGTGCGGATATGGTGGTGGCACCTTGGGCGATTTATCGTGGGGTTCCTATCGGACCTGACGGGCACCCCCAAGTTTGGGATGGCATCATTCCGAAGATTCAGGCGCGGATCCGTCTTACTATATGCCTCGGTCTGGGGATGGTCCTTTCTGCCCTTGCCTTCAGGACGATGTGTGTCTCCCTCCTGCAATACAGGTTTCAGCTGTCTCCTGCCAGTGGTCAACTGGTGACAACTTTCAAGGAAGGGGTTGTGCTGCTGACGGTTGGCCCGAAAAACGCGATGTCCTACGGGCTCGCCGCCCAGTTGCAGGCGATTTGGCTTGGCATCGACATTCTAAATATTCACGCTGCTGCGAAAGCCGCTTGTATTCGGTTTGCCCTGTGCTTGAAGTGCTTGCCACCCTCGATTCGGAAAGGGTCGACCTCGAACACATCCCGTACAGGTGGCATCGGGGTTGGCATCAGCATTCGTTCGTCTCGCACCTTCGGGAGGCCTTGGGCTGGTATCACTCGATCTTGCCCTCGTTGGATACGTCGGGGAACTCGCTACAAACCAAGATTCATCGCCACGTTCGTAAACACGACAAATCTGAAAAGGTTCAGTCCGTTCTCTTGCGCAGAATCCCCACGCTGATGCCAGAGATGATTATGAAGTACATTGAGATGTTTTGCGGCAACTTGATGTTTGTCGCCAGGCACGCGTCGATGTATTCGGCGGTCGCCCCTCTTCGGTCGCTCACGAACTCAATCAGCACATCCGCGAGGTTTCACAGTACTCCGAGGGGCTGTGTTCTGGGGTGCCACTGTTCCGATGGGGCCGACCTTGGCGCGATTTCCCATTACCGTTGTTGCCCTGGGCTCGAGAAGATTTTGAAAGCATGGCTGGGAACCGAATGGTGAGTTCTAGTGAGCCCAATGGGCATCCTTACTGGATTGGCCTTCTCCTCTTCCTCTTCCCTGCTCCTGTTGAAATTACACTACTTCGAGCTGCATGCTGCGATGCCTTTTCGTCTTTATTGAATGCCCGCAGGCTGGGAGTAAAAGGGTCCCCTGCCCAACAGTTTGAAGCGAGACTGCGAGTTTCAGCTCGGCGACACCATGTCCTCGCCGATGTTTGGTCGGACAGCCCATTAGACCTCGTGCGCCGACTAACGGCGTGCAAGCCGCCTGCTGTTGAGTTCATTGTCGAGTTGCCTCCGGCACAGGCCCCCAGGACTCCGAGGGGACCATGGGATCCCACTCGAGGCCACACAAGAAATATAATCTTCTTCCTCTTGCTTGCCCTCCTGCTCATCCGCCACTTACTGCTTTGCCAATTGCAACGCCTTCCTGATTGCGCATCACACGATGGAGCCCTTTTGGGGGACAAGATCCTGTAGGGCACCCCAGTCGGCGGACATACATCTTTTACGCAATGGGAAGGGATGGGTGGGATGGGTGGGATTGGTGAGATCGGATGTGCCGCGAGCGCGCCAAGCTTGCCTTTTTTCACCCCTTATCCATTTCCCTTCTCCTCCCCCTCTCCTCTTCTAGCGTGGCCCACCGCCCCACGCATGCATCTCATTCGGAGCACACTGAGCACCTTCATGCCGCGTTAGTAGTATGATGCTGCCGTTTGGAAGTTGGGAGGTGGAGAAGGTGGGGGAAGAGGAGAAGGAGGAGGAGGAGGAGGAGGAGCTGTTCCGAGTTGCCGGTCGGGCATGATTGCAGTCGGCGACGCGCCCTTCGATCGAAAGTCGCGTCACCTTGGCGCGAGATCTGGGGATGGCTGGCCATGGAGAGCAGTGGGCCGAGAACGCCGATGAGGGGGAGAGGACTGAGGCTATGCGACACAGGGCCTGCTTCTCCCCCGTCCCCCCTTCCCCTTCCGCCGAGATCTGCTAGCTCCAGTCCCGCTCGGGGCAGCGCGCGAGAGCGCGCGATGGGCAACGCCCACCACCACCAGCTGCACCTCGGCGGGAACGACGAGCTCGTCATCAACCTGGCCGCAGCTGTTATCTCGGAGGCGACGATTGGGGCGAATAGCCCAGTGGGGAACAATACGTGTATCCAGTGGCGCCGATGGTCCATGTCTTCGGCGAGGCTTCCATGCCAATACTTGGAATGCTCGCTCCTGGGCTATTCGCTCCTATCGTCGCCTCCCACCATCGGCGTCGGCGTCGCGAGCGCCACCAGCCTGGGGGCTGCCCTGGACGCCAGGCGACCGCCGCGGCGGCCCGGCGAGCAGCCTGGCCGGCCCCCCTGGTGGTCGTCGGGCGGGGCTAGGAAAAGGATAAACTAGTTCCAGAGCGATCCAGATCGCTTCCAGAGCGTTCCAGAACGCTCTGAGAAGGCCGCGGCGCCCGAGACACCTTCCAGAGCCGCTGGATCTCAGAGATTCCCGATTCATCTTCATCCTGATTTGTCTTCGTCCTGGTTTCGCCTCAGGTCGACCTTCCTGTTGGGCGCCAGCTACGCGCTGCTGGTGCCCGGGCTGGTCTGCACCCTGCTGAGCTACAACATCCGGAGGGGTCCGGCTGGGGCAGCCGCGCGGCCCTCGGTGGCTGGATGCGTCGCCGAGGCTGGGTCCGCCTCGAGGGACGGGCCAGGCCGGGCCCCAGGGTCGGGGGCAACGGTAGTGAAGGGGCCCACAAACACACAAAAAAATACACAAATGACAGGATCCCCCATATTTTCCAATATTTCCTGGGTTTTTGTCTTCCCCCCACTTCCATATTTTCCCACGTTGTCTAATAATTCAACGATTAATTGTGTCTGTGTGTTTTTTCCCTAATTCAACGATTAATTGTGTCTGTGTGTTTTTTCCCTCCTGAGATTGGGGGGGACATGCATAGGGGGGGGGGACGCATCGACCCCCAATCGCCCGCTGATCGGCGGTAGGGGCCCGATTGCCCCGCCCCGCCCAGGAGGGTGTGGGTTCAGCATCGGGGGCCTATCAACGATGTATCGCCTATTCTGGGTCGATGCATCCCCCCCTAATGCCTATCCCCCCGTATCGTTGCCCTTCGCAGGGGAGGTCCAGGCACCATCTCGGAGCGCATCAGGGCCGGGCGGGTGAGCCTCGAGCAGGAACAGGAAACGTTCAGAGCTCCGCGCGGAGTCCTTGGATCGGCGCTGGACCTCCCTCCTTAGCGCGCGGAGCGCGCCAGGGGCGGCGCCAGAGGCACCGCCAGGTGGAGCCAGCGCCGATCCAAGGAATCCGCGCGGAGCTCCACAAGCTTCTGCTGATTCATCCCCCTGTTCCTCCAGAGCCGCCGTTGTCTCAGTCGGCCCTCCTCCGAAGCATCTCCGTGGTCCCGTCCGCAGGCATCGTCAAGCCGCTGCGGGAGCGCACCGAGACGCTGATCTCGTTCGTGTTCTCAATGGCGTCGAGCGGGTGCTGGCCAGGCGTGGTCGTCCTCGTACTGTACGCAATGGTGGTGCCGATGATCAAGCTCGTCCTCCTCGGGCTCGGGGAGCGTTGGCGGTACTCTGACTCCCCGCAGCGGCTGAAGCAGGCCGCGACTTGCATCAGGACGGTGCAGGCCGCCGCGAAGTGGTCTTGCCCGGACATGTTCGCGTGGATCTTGCTCATGTATCTCGTGCGAGGCATGGGCGGCGACGGCCAGCACATGGTCAGCGCCGGGAGGCTGGACGTAGGGTTCACCTGCTTCTGCATGTTCTGCCTGGGGACGACGATAGGCTCCCTCCGTAGCAGATCCTGGGAGCCCATCTTGGAGGCCTCTTGAGGTTATTCGCCGTTTTCGAGCGCCTGGGGCCCTCCACGGGCCTGGGGACGTTTTGCCTGGGGGCGACGATTGCACGTAAGAGTGACCCTTCGCAGGAGGGACCTTTGGTGCGGGCCTTCTGGGACCCCTCGATCGCCGAAAGCGATGCGATTGCAGTGGTCTGCGCTCTCCAGTTTGGCCCCCCCCGCGCCCCCCGAAGGCAGCGCACCGCAGGTCGCTTTTGCACGGAGCCGTGTCTTGCGTGCAGCCGAGGACGACGATAGGCTCCCTCGGACGCAAATCGTGGGAGCCCTGCGTGCCCTTGCGTGCCAATGCCATTTTCTCTCGAGAGCACTGGTGCCGATGGGCGTCTGGTATTCGATGGGACAGCGCCAATGTAGCATCGATTCGCGCCGATCAGTGTCCATTAGCGTCGATTTGGCGCCGATTCGCAAGATCCTACAAGATGGCATGGAAGGCTCCTTTGAGTTGCCACAGAAGACCATAGGCTCCCTGGGCATCGAGCCCCCGAGCACCAGCACCGCCAGGGGCGCCGTGGAGGAGGCCGGCGACGCGATGCTGCGCGGGCGGGACGAGCAGTGCAGCAGCAGCAGCAGCGGCAGCTCGGGAGGGGGCGAGGCGGCGCAGCCGGAGAGGCGGCTCCCCTGGTACTCAGCATCGTTGAACCGATCCGCATCCCCACTGGGCCATGGTATCTCAGCCCCACCATCCCCCCACCCCAGTTGGGGACGTGCCCCTGGAAGCCCGCAGGAAGCAGCATAGATCCTCAGCTGGGGGTAGATCGGCCGGTGGGCCCAGGCCACGCCACCGGGATGGGTGTCGGTTTAACGATGCGCAGGTACTTCCCCGGGTTCCTCAGGGACATGTGGGAGAAGAGAGAGCGGCACAAACATCAGATTATCGCAGGCCTGCGCGGACCACTCAGATCGGCGCAGGTCCACCCTCGCTGGCGCGAGAAGCGCGCCAGCTGGCGGCGCCGGAGGCTCTGCCAGAGGTCCAGCGCCGATCCAAGAAATCCGCGCCGTGACCTTCGGAAGTTTGTGCTTGTGTAGTTGTCCCTTCTTCTGGGCATGGAGGCGGGGCAGAGGGCGAAGGTCCTCGCGGGCGCTTTTGCCGCCTCGCTCTGCGTGGGGCTCTTCGCGCCCTGCATGTCGCTGCGGCTGGACCTCAAGAGGGGCCAGAAGTCACTGTCATGGAGCCCTTTTCGTTTAAGGGTCTACCGAGCACCCGGGTGATCGGGCCCGCCCGCCCCCCCCCTCCCCCAGGATGCTTTGACCGTGTGGGTTGCGCGGATCCGAAGGTGGCAACCACGCAGTACTGGTGCGCGTGGGCACACGTGGGGCTGCCCAAAGCAAAAAGGTTGTGTTATCGGCTGTCACCTCCCTCCCCGCCCCCGCCACCGGATGACCCAGGTCAGAAAATTATCTGATGATGCGTTCCAAGAGTTCCAGGTTCAACCCATTTCCTGGTTTCCGCGCGTGCTCCAGAAGTTAGGGCCGCCAGTGGATGCCCTGGAGCTCCCGGAGCGTGTCTCGAGCCAGTCCCATCGTGGCATCGCCCTTGCCCATCATAGGACCTGGAGCTGCTGCACATCCCCCCCGCGCTGAAACCCTTGGTGAACTCTCTACACCTGCCGGAGGCGGCGTACGCGGACGCCAGCCTGTGGATGTGCATCCAGGCTTCCGATCTTCAAGCCTACTTTAGCCTGGACCTTCAGAATTTGTCGCAGTGGTGGGCAGAGAGGTCGTCCAGAGGATGGCGTCGTTTGCCGCAGCAGAGCAGACGCACGAAGCCGGGTTCTCGAAATCCCCCCGAGGATACATTCCTTCAATACTCGGCATCGCTCGGACGTGTGCATCTTGTTCTCGGCGAGGACCATCTTGGATCACCTTGCGACAAAAGCCCAGGAAACCGACAAATGCACTGGACATGCATGTCCGAGTGATGGCGAGACATACATTCAGGCGCTGCTCCTCTCGGCCTGCCGCGGCGAGGTCAACAGCGCGGTGGCCTTTGTCATGCTCGCGGTCTTCTGAGGGCAGCGCAGCCCACCCCCAACCCCGACCTGGGGATCCAGGGGGGGCCCTGGCTGGGCGTGGGGGTGGCTCGTTTGGCCCTCGAAGAGCTCGAAAAAAGAGACCCCCACCCCCGGCGAGGACCCCCAGGATTGCCCAGGTCGGGGGTGCCTGCCAGGGGGTGGGGGTGACTTTTTGGGGCTCTTAGGACCCCCTAAAAAGAGACCCCCCTCTCGCCTCGGCCAGGACCCCTTGGACCACCAGGTCGGGAGTGGGGTTCCTGGCTGGGGGTGGTAGTTGTGGTGGTGGTGGTGGTGATGATGATGATGATGATGATGATGATGATGATGATGATGATGATGATGATGATGATGATGGTGATGATGCTGATGATGATGATGATGATGGTGATGATGATGATGATGGTGATGATGCTGATGATGATGATGACGACGACGATGATGATAGTGATGGTGATGGTGGTGATGGTGATGGTGATAGAGATGGTTGTGGTCGTGTTGGTTATGATGGTGATGACGAGATGGTGACGACGTTGATGATGATGACGATGACGATGATGATGATCATGATGATGACGATGGTGGTGACGATAAATGATGACGATTAATGATGGGGAAGAGGATGAGGATGAGGATGATGGTGATAAAGTTGATGATGGTGGTGCTGATGATGATGACGAGGATGATGACGACGATGGTGATGATGATGATGATGTCGATATGACGTCATGATGATGCTGATGATGATGATGATGATGATGATGGTGGTGCTGATGATGCTTATGATGATGCTGACGATGATGACGATACTGACGATGATGATGCTTTTGAGGTTGATGAGTACGACTATGCTTATGATTATGTTAATGTTGTTGTTGATGTTCATGCTGATGATGATGATGATGATGTTGATGAGGATGATGATGATGCTGATGATGATGATGAACATGCTGATGATGCTGAAGATGCTGATGCTGATGCTGCTGCTGTTGCTGCTGCTGATGTTGATGATGATAACGATGATGATGATGATGATGATGATGATGATGATGATGATGATGATGATGATGATGATGATGATGATGATGATGATGATGATGATGATGATGATGATGATGATGATGATGATGATGATGATGCTGATGCTGATGCTGATGCTGATGCTGATGCTGATGCTGATGCTGATGCTGATGCTGCTGCTGATGGTGATGGTGGTGCTGATGATGATGCTGATGCTGATACTGATACTGATACTGATACTGATACTGATACTGATATACTGATACTGATGATACTGATACTGACTGATACTGATGATGATGATGATGATGATGATGATGATGATGATGATGATGATGATGATGATGATGATGATGGTGATGGTGATGGTGATGGTGATGGTGATGATGATGATCAGTATTGTCTACGGGTCGGGGAGCGGGGCTCGTCTACGCCGTGCTAAGTTCTCGTTTTCAGGCGCTGGGGCCCCTGGAGGCCACCAACCAGACGGACGTTTACCCGCTACCGACCCTGCTGTTTGATGCCAGCAGGGCCGATGGCAAGCTTCCGCCGCGGAATCCCCGACGACCAGAGGACAACGGGCCCGCGGCGGCGTGCCAGGGCCTCTCGAGGCCCAGGCCGGCGCCGAGAATTCCTACCCCAATCCAGCCGGCGAGCAGGGCGCCCGCAGGTCGCCCACACAGAACCCCCCAGACCGAGGCCCCAAGGACCACACGGACGCGGGAGGCCCACGGCCAGCGCGAGGCCCAGGCCGTTACCGCGCAGAACTTCGAGCCGAGCCCAGCAAGGCGACGGCCCGCAGGGCCGGGGAGGTGAGGAGGGGAAGTCGGCACACACGCACGCACGGCGCGCCGTGTGTACTATTGTCCCGCGCCCTCGGCGGCGGGGAGCTTCATTGCGCGGAAGCGCCGCCTCGTCGGCGGCGGAGCCTTGCGCGGGCTGCTCACCGCCGCGGCGAGCGGCTCCGTGGGTGGCCGTCTTCGTCTGTCCTCAGCGGCACAGCGGCTTCGCCAAACACGGCGGCTTTGCCGCCCTTGATTGGGTGCATCCCTTGCCGCATGCGGCGCAGCGCGGCCGCCTGGCGAGTGTCCGCCCCCTCTCCACGCAGCGGCCGCGGAGGCCCACGACCTGCGGCCCGTTGGCGTAGCACCAGCACGCCGCGCAGTACACGAGCCTCCGCGCACCTGTGCCGATCACCTAGAGACTGGGTCGGGTCGAACTGCAAGTTCCACCACGAGGGCGCGCGGCGGCAGGGCGATACGCCAAGAGGGGTTGGCGGGGCTGCTGCTGGAGCCGCCGTTGGAGCCGCCAGGGCGGCCTCCGCGCCACCCCTGAGCAAGTCCAGCATTTCCGGGAAAATCCTTGGACCTCCGTGCTGGTGCTCTGGTGCCCCGTGCGCGGGAGGCTGCCGCGGCCGCGGTGTTGCGGCTGCCGCTGCGCCGCCCGCGGGGCCAGGCGGGCCCTCAGTTCCTGCCGTCCCGTTGCCTTCCGCACCGCCATGGCGCCGTGGGCTTCGCCGTGGGCCTGGGCGGCCGAGGCGGCGGCGGCGGCTCCGGCAGCCTCGGCCCTGCAGCGGCCCGCGCTCGATTCGGCCCGCGCGCGGACGCGCCGCGCGGCAGCGTCCTGGCCTGCAGCACTGCGCTTCCGAGCCACAGTCCCTTTCGCTGAGCTGGTTCCGCAGCGGGGGGGGGTCGGGCGGCGCCCCAAGGCCTCTGTCGTGAGCAGGGGGCGCGCTGCCGCCATCCGGCGCCGCGGCCGAGGACCCGCCAGGGACGGGCGTGCCGCTCGAGCGGTCCGCGCAGGCGTCTCAGAACCAGCGCGTTGCGCCCCGTTGCGCCCGCCTCCGCGACCGCCGTGCCGTGGGCGCCGCAGGGCCAGCGTCTGCAGTTGTGGCCGCCACCGCGGCAGCGCGCGCCCCTCCGCCGCCCGCAGCCGCGCCCGCGGCAGGTGGGCTGGTTCCACCGCAGCGGCGTCCGCGCCGTCGGTTGCCGTGAGGGCGGCGTGCCCGAGCTGCAGCGCCTCGCCGAGCCAGTGCACCGTCGACACCGCGATCTCGTCGGCCAGCGAAGCGCGCGACGCCGCCGCCTCGCTCGCAGGGTGGAGCGCAGCGCCCCGCTTTGGCAACGCCGTCGGTGGCTCTGTTGCCCTCGTGGTCGTCGAGGCTGGTGCTGCCGTCCCGCACGGAGCGGAGGGTGGCGTGCCCTTTTTCTTTGGCGACGCGCACGTGCTGGGGGCCGCCGATGTCGTCCACGGCCAGCAAGAGCTCGCGCCACACCTCGGCGATCCCAGGCGCGGCACCATGCCCAGTTCGCAGCGTAGCCCGTCACCAGGAGCTTGCAGTCCGTCCTGATCTCGAGGGCGCCGTCGGCGCCTAGCAGGCCCCGGCGCAGCGCTCGGGCGGCGGCCAAGATCTCGCCCTCGTTGGCGTCCTGCGGCAGGTGGACGGGAACGCAGCCTCAGGCGCCGTGCGCGGCGCCGCGGACCTGCAGCGCTGCCAGTTGCCAGCCCCCAGCCGGCGCGCACCTCGGGCGACCCCGCCTTGCCGTGGAAGGCCGAAGCGTCGATGTACAGGATGCCGGCGCCCACCAGCGTGGTGTAGCCGAGGCTGCTGCTGCTCCACCGCACTTCCTCGGTCTCCAGAGGCGGCGGGAGGTCGCCCACCCGGTCAGGGATGAACGCCCACGAGTATCGGGGGCCCTCGCTGTCGGATTCCGCTGCCGCGTCGGCGAAGGCCTGCAGCACCGGACCGCGAAGCCAGCGATGGCACTGCGCCTCTCCAGCGCCATTGCAGGGCACCGCCAAGCGAGGTGGCGCACTGTGTCGCGACGGTCGCATCCCATGGGGCAGGCGCTCCAACGGCACAGCGGCGGATCGAGCGCGGCTCGGCGGGCAACAGGCCAGAGCCCGCCGAGCGCCGGATTGCGGGCGCTGGGCCACCGTGCCCGCAGCTCGGCAGTCGCATTAGCTGCCAGCAGCCCTGGGGTCTTCCCGATTCCTCCGGCACGAATCGAACCGATTATTCCGGCTGCCGAGTCGAACCGATTCGATTCGGAGATTCGATTTGCGATTCCGACTTCGATTTTGCCCGATCCGACTCTTGTCGATTCGATGTGGCAGCGGGTTTCGGCCAATTTCCTGCCGGTCTGGCTTCGCTCCGGCTCTTGGATGGTTTAAGAAGAAGAAGGAGGAGGAGGAGGAGGAGGAGGAGGAGGAGGAGGAGGAGGGGAAGTGGGCTGATGATGATGATGATGATGATGATGATGATGATGATGATGATGATGATGATGATGATGATGAGGAGGAGGAGGAGGAGGAGGAGGAGGAGGAGGAGGAGGAGGAGGAGAGGAAGAAAAGGGAAGAGGAGGAGGAGGAGGAGGAGGTGGAGGAGGAGGAGGAGGAGGAGGAGGAGGAGGAGGAGGAAGGGGGAGAAGGAAAAGGAGAAGGAGACCGACAGGGAAAAGGAGCTAGGAGGGGGAGGAGGGGGAGGAAGCGACGACGACGACGACAACGACGACGACGGCGGCGAACCCCCTTAGGAGCGTCCTGGCGGCGCGCCGACGCCGACCTGCAGGTGCCTCGCCGCCTTCGCTGTCGTCTTTGGCGGCCCGGGGGGAGGGTCCGTGGAGGGACTGGGGGGTGCCGTCCTGGAGCGCGTGATGGCGTCCTCGGGCTTCCTGGAGGGGTCCCAGGGCCACGGACGGGCGCCTTCCTCGTGGCCGCGGAGGGGCCTGCCCCGAAACTCTTGCCCGAACGCACCCTGGGACATCCACGGTCCAGGGGGTCCGTCCCATAAACCAGGGGGCACGTCCCACGGACCAGGGGGTCTGTCCCACCGACCAGGGAGTCCGCCCCGCAGACCAGGGGGTCCACCCACGGTCCGGCGGGGTCTGTCCTGCGGCCCACGGGGTCCGTCCCACGGCCCAGGGAGTCCGCCCTGCGCGGGGGGCCCGTGGAGGAACGGGGGGGGGGCTCCAGGGTCCAGGGAGTTTTTTCCAGGGTCCACGGTCGAGGGGTGAGTGCTCACGCGCCTGAGTCTTCGTTACCGCGGAGGGTCGGAGGGGGCCCCGAAGCCTGCGTTCGACGACCCGCGCCGGTCCACGCGTGCAGCGACGCGCGCGCGACGACATGCGACCTCGTCTACGACGACGCGCGACGACGATAGTCGGGAGAAGGAGGGGCGGATGGGACGGCCAATCACCTCCCCCACTTCCTTCCTCACCCTCCCGGCCATCCGATGTCGATTCCGATCCGGCTTGTCGCGATCCGGTGTCCGATTCGATCTGACTCGGCCCTGCCGACTTTTGCCGATTTCGGCGTGGCGCCGGATTTCTGCAGTCCTCTGCCGATTCGATCTTCGGGTCGATCCGATTCGACGCATCGATTCGACGTTTGGGGCCGCTTGGCAGCCGCCCGCGGAGCGCGTCGCCGGCCACGTGGCCGAGCTCCGCGTCGCGGGTGGCGGCCTCGCGCCAGAGCCACCGCTGGTGCGTTGCGGATGTGCCCGCGGAGCGCGTGGCCCCCGATCGTTTCGAGTCTCACCCCGTGTTCCGTTGTCCGTCGCCCAGCGACGCAGCGCGGTAGAGGTCCAGTCGAGCCGTTCGATGGCAAGCAGCGCCGCCGCCACGGGGCCGCGCCCCGCCAGCGCAGCGGGCCCGCTTTCATGGCGAACCTGGACGGCGCGCCGCCACGCCCGCACCATGTCGTGGGTGGTGTTGGGGTGGGCCCGTGCGAGCCCACGGCCCAGCGCCAAGAGCGCCTATTCGGCCTGCGAACACCAGGGGTCGCGCCACGGCGCGGCGGACAGCGCGAAACCCACCTGCAGCGGACGGCCACGCGCGCAACCGAAGGTGAAAGTGGCGACTGATGATCGCCACCGCTCGAGCTCCGACGTGGTCCATACCTGGGTGCGTGCTGCAGACGCAGGCCATCGTTGGGAGGAAACCGCTCACGAGCAGGCGCATAGTCGCGTTGATGAATGTGTGCCGCACGTCCGCCACCCGCCCGAGCTGGTCGCAGGCCTTTCGCCATGCCAGTCGCGGCCGAGCCGTCCATGCAGAAGTCCACGCCGAGGTTATTCGTGGCTTGGTCGGCTTGGCATTAAGGGCGCCGGTTTGCAGTGTCACCTGGGCCTCGTCGCGCGTCTCGGTGTCGGTCGCCACCCCCTCCGTCTTGGTCGCCGAGACCCTGCAGCCAAACGCGCAAAGGCCAGCTGCCACCGCGAACCTTTTTGCCACCAGGTGCCTCGTGATCGCCCGAGCGGCGCGCCCGAAGCAAGACACAGTCGTGTCGACACTGAAGACGTGCATGTGGGACTTCAGCGGGCTTCCGCTGCAGGTGCCGTTCTCTTCGGCGTGCGCCCTCACAACCAGGAGCGTTGCCGCCGTGATACTGATCGTGGCGATGACCATGATGACGATGATGATGATGATGATGATGATGATGATGATGATGATGATGATGATGATGATGATGATGATGATAATGTTCATGATGATGATGATGATGATGATGTTCATGGTTATGATGATGATTATGGTGCAGGTGGTAATGATGATGATTGGTGACGGTGGTCGTGCTGATTGTATGATGGCGACCACAATGCCAATGACGATGACGATGCTGATGATGATGATGGGTGATGATGGTGGGGATGATGATGTTGATGATGATGAGGTTGGTGAGTATGATGATGGTGATGATGATGGTGATGGTGTTGGCCATGTTGATGACGATGATTGGTGATGATCGTGATGATGACGCTACGATGGCGACCGCGATAGCAATACTGATCACGTTGATGATGCTGCTGGTGATGATGTTGATGAACATGGTGATGGTCATGCTGGTTGCGATGATGATGTTTATGTTGAGGGGCGAAAGTGATGGCGATGGTGATGCCGATGGTAATGATGACATCCATGACGATAACGACTATGATGCTGCTGATGATGACGGTTAGGTGATGGTGGGTGGGGTATGTGATGGTGTTGATGATGATGATGATGGTGGTGGTGTTGGGGATGATGATGGGTATGATGATGACGATGCGGTTGATGATGATAATGACGTTGATGGTGAAGTTGATGCGGATGATGATGACGATGATGATGATGGTGGTGGTGATGATGATGTGGGTGTGGATGTTTATGGGGATGGTGATGATTTTAAGGAGTGGTGACGATACGGATGATGGCGATTATGATGATGACCATGACGATGACGATGTTGATGTTGATGGTGGCGGTGGCGGTAATGGCGGTGATGGTAATAATGATGATGATGATAATTATGATGGTGGTGATGATGACGAAGGTGACGACGATGACGATGATGTTGATGATGGGGTTCAGACTGATAATGATGATGAAATTGGTGATGGGAATGATACTGTTCGGGACGAGGAGGAGGATGAGGATGAGGATGATAGTGATGGTGATGGTGATGATGATGCTGATGATCCTGATGGCGATGATGATGCTTATTTTCATGGTTATGGTGGTGGCAAGGATGAGTAGCTGGAGGAGGATGAGGAGGAGGATGGGTGTTGCTCAAGCTGATGCTGATGATGTTGCTGATGATGCTGATGCAGATGAGGATGGGTGTGAGGAAGAGGATGATGGTGGTGATGATGGCGATGATGATGACATCATCATCACCACCCCGTCATCATCATCATCATCATCATCATCATCATCATCATCATCATCATCATCATCATCATCATCATCATCATCATCATCAGTGGGTTGTACTGTCCTCATCTTCGCCGTCGCCGCCACCGTGGGCGACGTGGCCGTGCTCTCGCACCTGGCGTCCGCGCCGCCCGGCGGCGCGCCGCTCCGGTTGTCCCGCGTGCTGGGGCGGTTGGCGATGTTGGACGTGCTCTTGATGGGCATCTTCGTCGTTTATCTTGTCATCCGCCACAATGTATATTCGGGGAAACGTAAGACTCGAGTCCGCTGGAACTCGAGCTTGCCGACGCTTTTTGACGAGCGCGCCCTGGAATTTCACAGTCCAGTTGTCGTGGGATGTTCGTGGCGGGAGCTCGCGTCAAATTTCAGGCTCGGTCTCGTCATTTTCACGAAGGTCTGGTCCGACGAACCCGAGTCCCCAGAACCCGAATCTTACGTTCTCCGATATATACACAGACACTCTCCAGTGGATTGTTTATGGGTCTCATGGTGAGGATGGCGGTGTATCAATCACCACTGAGAGCCAGCGGTTTCATACACCGCCACCCTCCCTTGAAGTCATAGGGTGTTTGTGTATATTTTCGTGGCGTAGGTCATGATCTCGTACAGGAATCGGTGGCGGCCAAGAGAGGGGTGATGGCTGAGAAAAGGGAGATGACATGGCCAGTGCTGGAGCCATGGTATCTTTCCAGATTTCATGGCGCTCCTTATTTCAGTGTGTCCCCTGACTCCCCCCCCCTCGGGCCGCGCACGTGCCTCGGACCATGATTTGCGAACCCCCCTCCTGGACGCCCCCCTCTTGGGCGCCCCCGAAGGAAGAGCGGCGTGATCCTGTCTGGGGGCTGGGGGCTCATCCCGCTGGCGGCGGCAGAGCTGTGCCACCACCTGCTGCAGCGCTGCCTGCCCGCGCAGGCTTGAGGACCTGGGTGCCCAACCGCTGTGATCGGGAGCGTGCTCACTGCCAGCGACGCCCGAGCTAAAGCGCTGGGCGCATGAGCAGGTGCAAGAAACGGGGCATTGTGTGTTGTGAGTGTAGGGAGGGAGAGGGAGAGGAGAAGAGGGAGAGATACACCGGCGGGCAAGGGGTGGAGGATGGCGGGGGGAAGGATGGGCGTCATTCGATCTTCGCGTATGCTAACGCTTCTCATTGAGAGAAGGGGATGGATGCGGGAGGGATTGGAATTGTGAAAGAAGGTAACCGTAGAACGAGTTGCTCTGTTTCATTGGGCTTTGCTAGGCAAGCGTACCTGCTTTGAGTAATCGGTCGCAAGAAGATCCCCAGCCTCTCGAGGCGAATACCTAGCTGTGTGGCAGATGGAGAGGAGGGGATTCGAGGGAGAATAAGAGAGAGGAAGGGATTGTCTTCGAGTCAGGGGGAACAGTACGGATGGAGAGCTGGGAAACAGGTGATGGAGCAAGGAAGGAGGGGACACATTGGCAGATGGTGCTCATGGTTTGCGCCTCTCGAGATCTGCTTGCCCCCACTTGAAGCTGGATTTGCCCGCGGGGCATGGAAAAAGTTCAACGAGGGAAGAAAGGATTACACCTGAGAAAACCCCAATCAGTGAATGATTTGAGCATTGATACTATGGATATTGAGATCGATTGTGATATCGATAGCGAGATCGATGGTGAGGACGATTGTAAGGTCGATCATGAGACCGAGAGTGAAACCGGTTATGTTATCGATAGTGGAATCGATAGTGAGGACGATTGTAAGGTCGATCGTGAGACCGAGAGTGAAATCGATTCAATCAGATCGATAGCGAGATCGCTCATGCGATCTCTTGTGAGATCGCTTGTGAGGTTGATAGTGATATCGATTGTGAGATCGATGGTGAGACCGATCGAGAAGTCGGTAATGAGATCGATGGTGAGACCGATCGATAAGAAGATCGACCAGGAACCCGGCAACCGGGGAACCTCGCCTCCCTTCGAAATCGGCCCGGAACCCGGGAACCCTGGAATCCGGAATTGCGAACCCAGGAACCCTGGACCCCAGCTTGCCACCAAAATCGGCGGGAATTTTCGCCAAATCCTTCAATTTTTGCTAGGACCCCTTCAGTGCAAGCACTGATTGGGGAATTTCCGCTCAGATCCCTTCAGTGCAAGCACTGATTGGGGAATGACGAGGATAATGATGAACAGCAGGAGGAAGGCGAGAAGGAGCTGCAGCGCCAGCATCACCAGTACGTATCAGCAGCGTCGTCACAAACACAAGCGTGGTGATATTGATGATGATAGCGATGAACAGAAGTCACAGAAGGTTGAGGTAGATCAGGATGAGAGGTGTGAGACGGAAGTTGGGTGGGGAAGAGGTGGTGGTGGGGAGGGCAGGAGGAAGCGGAAAAGTGGAGGTGAGGGGGAGAGGGAGTGAGGGGGGAGGGGCGGTGGAAAAGAGGACTCGGCATGTGGAGGGAGGGCAGGTCAGCTGCGCTGGAAGAGCGGCGCTGGCTGCGTCGTTCCCCGCGAGGCCGGTCGCGGGGGCCGCCCCCCCTCCCTGGAGCGGCAGGGAGCAGCGGAAGGAGTCGCTTGGCCCTCCCCTCTCGTTCCTAAGGGATGCCAGGGGCCCCTCCTCAGCATCGTCCAATCGATCCCCTTCCACACTGGGTCGTGGTATCTCAGCCCCACCAGCCCACCTCTCCAGGCGGAGGTAGGTCCCGCGGAGCCCGAAGGGAAGAGCACGTATCCCCACCTGGCGGGGTAACTCGGCGCAGGTAGGGCCACAGCCATGCCATTTTGCCCTGGCCAGTGGGAAGCGGGATCGATTGATCTGTGCTCCTCTCCCCCAGCCTTCTCGAGGTGGAGGGGGGGGGACCTCCCCTGAGGCTTCTTGGCTCGGGTCACAGAGGGGCACGACGGCGTTGTCCCGGGGTGGGGCTGGAGAGCAAGCCTGGCCAGATGCTCACGCGTTTTTCCCAACCATCCTGTGGTGTTGGGTCTTCGTTTTGAAGAGACAGCGCCCCGCGTCCCACCTCTCCTCCTCCTCCTCCTCCTCCTCCGCCTCCTCCTCCTCCTCCCGCTCGCTCCTCCTCCTCCTCCTCTCCTCCTCCTCCTCCTCCTCCTCCTCCTCCTCCTCCTCCTCCTCCTCCTCCTCCCCCGCACCGCACCCATTTCGGCACAACCCTCACACGTTCTGTGGCCCATAGGGAGCTCCACCGAATGCCCCTTTTTCTTCCGCGCGCCCCCTTCCTGTTTGAAGCGATTGCGCGGACAAACGCTGGCCAAAGTCTGACCCCAGCCATTGTGCGAACAACTGGGGCAACACTTGGGAAAGAAGGATGAGGCCTCTTGGGTGCCTCTAGGGGCAATCTGGGTGCCTCTTGGTGGCCTCCGAGGAGCCTCTTTGAGTCTTCCTGGCTTCCTCCAGCTCCTTTGTGGGCTCCTGGGGACCTCTTCGGGCCTCTTGGGGCATCTCGGCCCATCTGACGCTGTGGGAGGCCATCCTTGGGGGCCTCTCTGAGCGGTGCTGGGGCCCTCTCGGGGCGCTGCAGGGCCGTCTTGGAGATCTTTGGCCGTATCGGGAGGCTGATTGGGCCGTCTTGAAGCCCTTTAAATCCATTTTGAAATTATCTTGGAAGCTTCTGGGGCTGTCTTGGTTGGATCGGTACCCTTATGATCTTCGTGTCGGGACTCTCCACCTTGGGAAGTTCTTCGTTGGGGAGACGTGCCTCCATTGGCCTTGAGGCTTCGGCAAGGGGCCCGTTGTTCTCGACATGTCCTTGTGACCACGTTTCGCTTGTAAGTCGTCGTTGCCGTCGACGCCATCATCGCCGCCATCGTCGCCGCCATCGTCGCCGCCACCGTCGTCACCGCCATCGTCGCCACCGCCATCATTTGTCCCATTGGCTGCGCCCTCCCTTACGTCCACCCAGACGGAGCTCTCGACATCACCCCTGCACGCCATTTGCGGATGCGGAGACTTCGTATTTTGCGGCCTAGTCTGTCTAAATCGTTTTTATCATGTTAAGAGCTGGTGTTGTCCCTGTTGCAGTCAAGGTGCCGACCCAAACAAGGGCCACTACTGGGGGTTCAGGATGGGCTCCGGTAAATGGGTCGTTCTTCATATTTGGTCGGGCAGCGCATTCGCGGCCGAGGCTCGCAGTGGTCAGAAAAGCGCTGTCGCTCCATGTCAGGCGCTCCCGTTGCAGGATGAGCATTAGGCAATGCCGCGGGGCCCGTCACGCAGAAGCGCCCACACGTACGTACAAGTTGTGGCCGTTGAGTTTAAGCCATGCATGCATGACTCTCCTGGAGCACGCGTACCAGATCCTTATGCCTCAAAACTTAGTATATTCTCCCACTCTGCCACCTAGCCGGCCGGTTGGAATTGGACGGGGAACAAACCCACGCGACAGGGCGAACTTCCTTTAGCAGTTTGCCTTGAGGGGTTCCTACTTGTCTTCTAATGCACTGGCTTCGTTTGTTGGGGCTGTCATGTTGCCGCCGTCGCGGCCCCGTCGCCGCCTCATCGCCGCCGTCGTCTTGGCTCGTTTGTCGGGCCAGCCGCCTTGTTGCCGCCGTCGCCGCCCCGTCGCCGCCTCGTTGCCGCCCGTCGTCTCGGCTCGTTTGTCGGGTCCGCCGCCTTGTCGCCTCCGTCGCCGGCCCGTCGCCGCCTCGTTGCCGCCTGTCGTCTGGGCTCGTTTGTCGGGTCCGCCACCTTGTTGCCGCCGTCGCCGCCCCGTCGCTGCTTCGTCGCCGCCACGTAGGTTGCACCACACAGATTAGATTGCGCGTGCATTGCACATCGTATATGGCACGTCGCAGATTGCACAACGCAGGTTGCAGCACATATATTGGGCCACTTTGGTTGCATTACGTAGATTGTGCCACATCGATTGCCGAACGTAGGGTGTTGTACAGCATACGTAGCACCACATAGAACGCACAGCATATATTGCACCGCATAACTTGCCCCACATAGGTTGCACAACATGACATGCACCACATATATTGCACTGCATAGGTTGGACAACATGGATTATATCCCATATTTTGCACAACATAAACTTCCCCACATCTAGTCCACCACATGTATTGCTTCACCAATATTGCACAACGTAGTTTGCACAATAATTCTCCTTCTGAAAGAGTTTTCGGATGTACTGGACTTAACGGAACCCAGTTTCGTATTGCAGCTTGCATATGATTATGCCCCATCGACCGTCCTACATATGATTTTGAATCATCCCACTTAAACTGGCATCACCCCCTATTCTACGGACAAATGTATGCGCGCTGGCTCGTTTATCACAAATCATCAGTTTGTCAGAAATCCCTTGCGACAGATGGGACGAAGTGCGCGCGCGCATGCCGCAATCCTTCCAGAAACCAATAGGTTTCGCAAGGATTCCAAAAGCGAGTGTCCCGAAAACAAAAATAACAAACTTTCCCGCAACAATACGTTTCAAACAAAGCTTTCGCCAGCTCTCCTGCATAGCCTGAGTTTCTAGACATATAGATATAAACAATCGGTGTTTCAACATATTCATAGCATATTATCAATCGGGTCTCTTGCGTGCGCATGCCGACATCGCTCGAACGCCATGGCGCGCGCTATCGCGAGAGCCCCTTGCAGCAAAGGGGCGAAGTGCGCGCGCGCACGCGGGCGCCGTCGCGCGCGCATGCCGAAATCCGTCAAAAACCGTTTGTTTCGGAAGGATTTCGGAATCGAGTGCTCTGAACATCCACTCAAATAAATCCGTAAGGTGCTTTGTGGGTTTGCGTGGGCCCCCGGCTCCCCGAGCCTCCTGGAGCCTCCCAGGGGCCCTGAAACGGCTCCGGAAAACACCCGGAAAGGCCCGAACCGGTGCGCGAGCTCCTGAGAGACCCCCAACACGGCCCAAGAGACTTCCAAGATCCCGTAAGACGGCCCCCAACGCCTTCTGCACAGAGCCCCGGGAAGCCAAAATCGTCAAATTCCTCTGGGAAGACGTACATTTTGGGCATGTACGAGTTTTCAAATCCCAAAGCTCCACGACGGCCAAAGACGCTTCATAGACCGCCCCAAGACGGCCCAACAGGACTCCAAGAGGCTCCCA